TGAACAAATAAACTATTTTTCCATCTCCTGGATCTGAACAGTTACATCCTGTTGTCACAAAGAGAATTTCGTCTCGCTCTTGTGCGGAACATGCTGGAAGGGGTCCACCTCGCCATCAACGGCCCAGGGGTCGAACCCCCGCCGTTTTATCGGAGATATCTCGATTATAGGAGGCCAAACCACATCACTGGTCGACTTCCTCTACTTCGCAATTGAGGTGTTGTGTGTGCTTTTCGCATGGAAAACGAAGAACCGTCCGGACAAAGTGCGTGAAGTGCGACGTCGGACACTGGATTTCCGGATGTTTCCAAGATTTCCACATGAAGCCAACAGTCCGTTAGATGACGCAGGTGGGAAGAGAGACAACTTATAAAGCTGGTGACCAAAAATCATGTAAGTAGAAAAAGAATTTATAACTTAAAATTAGATTTTAAAAAGCCGGCCGCACGCGTGGACTGCGCGATGACATATGGCGTCATTCGTCCCCTTGACTTTATTTTCATGACGCCATATGGAGTCGCTCGGCTCTTAAAGGTTAAAGTGTAGGACTGGAAGAGAACACGAGAGAAGGCAGGGGAAGTTAATAGCATGAAAGCTTATATAAGAAATGATGTGACTTCCTGTTGAATTCTCAATGGACATTTGAATTTAAGAAGTTTTGCTGTCAGGACAAACTTCACATTTCTTCATTACCTGAATATTGAGGACAGTTCCCTGCATCCCTTGTCCAAGTCTTGGTATTTTGATGCACAGTAAACCTTCGCTGATCCAGATTAATTGCGGGTAGAGGTCATCTGATTAAGTGATAATCCAAATTAATGAAACAAACAATAGCTCTAAAAGAAAAAAACTTAGAAAACAAATAAAGGAAAATTTAATAATATAGATAGTGCTGATAAAAATAAACAATAAAAAATGTCACTGCAGCAATGTCTTCCTCTGTCAGAAACTGAAATCCCGGGTCTTCTTCATCCAGCTGAAGCCAGTCTTGGATATTTCCTTTCTTGGTTTCAGTCTCTCCAGCTGCCCTCAACGCAGTCTGAAAGTCCTCTTGCTGCTTAATCCAGTGTGTCTTTTAGCCTTTAAATGCTGGACTTCTGAAATGGTGGTAGCTTGAGCTGGCTGGAGTTATATTAAATGCCTGCTGCTGGTGCGCATTTAAATGCCTGTTGCTACTCTGTGTTTAAATGTCCGTTCCTCTTAGGGCACTTAAACAATTTTAAGCATTGTGTTTAAAAATGCTGTATCTAACTCAATTTTTATGATAAATGGATGGTATTATCTTTGTTTGTATCAGCAAAGAACATAGTGTCGTATATTACAACGGAAGATTTAAACATTTTTATACAAAGAGTTATACTCTGTTTTCAATTTCTTCTTTTAATTTTGATGCGTACAGCAAAAATGGTTTTCCCAGTTCTTCACAGAGTTGTTCTGCATTATAAAATCAGTCCTGCTTGAAACACTTGACAAATTTTAGCAGTCCCTGGTACCATAAAACAGATGGAAGCAATAAAATCATTTGGCCTTCTGCTAGCACTGCTTACACTCTTCAGATTTTCGAATCTTTTGACTAAATGACAGAAGAATGAAAGCATGGCTATTCAAGAAATAGCTAGAGGGGTCCCTTCTTCAGTGCTGAGACCTTCAGTTATAGCTGCAAGAGATTATTGCCCTTTCTAGGGTCATGAACAGACAGCTGCATCGTGGCTAAGCTACTGAGTGCAATCTGTTTTCTGTGCGTTTGTAATGAAATCGAATACTGTAGTTTCATTTCAGCCTATATATCCATCAAGCACGTAACAACAAAAAAGGTGTGTACATCGAATTTTTAACACATTAATCTGCAGAATCTGCAGTAAAATTACTGGCTCGTGGGTGATTTTGGGCATAACTCATACGTATATTCTTTTTTTGCTGTTGTTCACTTAGGCATCATTTTAATTCCTCTATTATGGCTTTACTCAAGTCTGTCTGTTAATTATTACATTTAAAAATAAATATTTAGGACTGTGCATGCGCTTCTACTAGCGGCGTCTGTGCGCACTTCCGCTAGCGGAGTTTAAATGTCCGACTGCCCAAATCAGGGTACTTTGGCCATGACAACCATACTCATCACTGGCCCGATCGGTGCACTTCGGGCATTAAAGGTTAAAGTATGTACTCAACTGTGGACAGAATTTTTTATTTTTCATATTTTGATCCAGATTAACTGTAACCGGATTAGCCAGGGTTCTGTGTATTCCGTTGGAGTGTTTTGTAAAGTTTTTAATTTGTTAAGTAACAGTTTCAAATAGAATATTTTATAAACAGGAGTGGAACCAAGTGCTGGAGGGGCTCCTGTGCCGCAGCTTAAGACTGTCCTGTCATCAGCTCAACAGAAACAGCAACAAGAACTGCTGAAGCAGGTGTCAGAGCAGCCGTTTATTCCCAAAGATCCCCCAGCAGAATTTGAGTTTATTGCTGATCCACCATCTATATCAGCCCTCGATTTGTAAGTTCCATATTGACATTTAACTTTTCACTTACAGATTTTTAAAATATCCCACTCCTGCACTTAGCCTGAATTGAAATACAGTCTTTAATCTTCTAGGGCACTAAATGCTATACTTACTTACTTATGGAGCTGAGCCCTTCTTGAGGAGAAACGAAATCTGTAGCCACTCAGGAATTTCCAAGCATTTTATGGAACGTGAAGGTTCATTACCATGTTCACAAGAGCCCTCCACTGGTCCCTATCCTGAGCTAGATCAATCCAATCCATACTATTCCATCCCGTCTCTCCGAGATCCATTTTAATATTGTCGATGGTCTTCCCAGTGGTCTCTTTCCTTCTGGCTTTCCCACCAGTATCCCATATGCATTCCTGGTATCCCCCATTCGTGCTACATGCCCTGCCCACCTCATCCTCCTTGACTTGATCATTCTAAATATACTTGGAGAAGAGTACGAGTTATGAAGCTCCTCATTATGCAGTTTTCTTCAACCTCCTGTCACTTCATCCCTCTTCGGTCCAAATATTCTCCTCAACACCCTCAGTCTTTGTTCCTCCCTTAATGTCGGAGAAGGCCACGCCACAGCTCAAGCGGTTAGTCGCTGGCTTCCCACTGTGGGGGCCTGGGTTTGATCCCGGGGGCTGGTCAAGTGGGATTTGTGGTGGACACAGTGGCGCTGGGGCAGGATTTCTCCTAGTACTTCGGTTTCCGCTGCCAGTATTCATTCCACCCATTGCTCCACAATCACCCTCACCTGTCATCTGGTTCTGGTACAATAGGCCAGAAGTGGCCACAGTACAAGGGACTTAGTCCCACCCCACTAGCATTAAAAAAAATAATGTCAGAGACCAAGTTTCACACCCTTACAGAACCACAGGCAAAATTATAGTTTTGTATATTCTAATTTTTATGTTTTTGGACAGCAGATGAGAAGACAGAAGGTTCTGGACTGAATGGTAGCAAGCATTACCCAAGTTCAATCTCCTACTAAGTGCTATACAGTAATGAAAGATTTGTGAACCATTATGTCAGCAGCAGCTACATTTTCTGAAAACTAACTAACTTACTTAATCCATTCCTCTTATATCTTATGGTGATGAGGTTTTTTTTTTTTTTCATTTTAATAATTTTACAGATGGTAGGAATCCTTGGACAAGTGATAAGCTTGTTGCAAGGCCTCTACCTAAACACAGGACAACACAAACAGAATAAACACATGCACATACCAAACATCCATGCTTTATGTGGGATTCAAACCCACAGTCCTGCCTTCCAAGCGAACAAAGACAGTACATGCCTTAGACCACTCAGCCACAGTGACCGGCCTTCTGAAAACTACTGTATTAAGTCTTATTTACCTGCCAAAGCTGTTGGTGAATGAAGCTATATTTTAAGCCATTCTTGAGGACACCCAGGGTTGTGGTGCTGTTGGGGAAGGGGGCGGGGGCGTCACGTCCCACAGTTAAGAGAAGCCATGTGTTAAAAGCTAAACTTCTGGCTAAGGACTCCAGTTTCTGAAACATTATGTTTGTTTAAATAAAAACGGGGTGGTGTTTTAGATAAGAACAGGAGGATGGGTAATGTCCAGAAACATAATATTTGTAAGTGCAGATATAGTTAAAAATTTTTAAAGAAAGTTCTTAGTCAATATTTTGTATAATGTTTCAATTAAATTTGTGTAATACATAATATATAACTTAGAAAAACGTCAGATTGGTGTAATGTGAAGATCATATGCGGTATCAGTACAGTCTGGAAAACTATTAGCGACCAATCTTCAAGGACTGTTGGCATGGCAACATTGCAAGGTAGATATTTGTGTATTGTAATAATGTGCTTTGTATAGTTCTGCTCTGAGGTTGGTATTGAAGTGCAGTGCTGTCCCTCAGTATTTTGAAGTTGGATTACTGATTCAGTTACATAACGCCAATCTAAATTTGAGTGATTAAGGGGTGGGTGCGACCAGTCCTTACACATTCACCATCTTTCATCTGTTGTGTATTCCCCATCTTGTTGCTCCTCTAACAGTACAATGAAAGGTAAAGCTGTCCCTGTAACAGTCCATGGAGGTCCACAGTGTTGCGAGATGTCAAGGCTCCGACATTTTCTAGACAGTCAACTCACATATGGCAGTGAGGTTGTCAGCCTTATGCGCTGGTTGCCCTTTACCCCCCAGGAAAATTCCTTTTACTCATTTATATCAGAGGCTGAGTTGACCCCGATGGCCATATTGCGGCTGGAAGGGTTAGTTCAGTTGGAAAATCCAGTGAACTCATTGGAACCCATGACCATCCGGCTTGTAGCATAGTGCCTCAACCACCTACCCTACCATGTACCCCTGGTCCTCTGACAGTTACACACTTCAAGTGAAGTGGACAGCTTTGTGTAACAAGGTATTAAGTAGATGCCTGGTTCCCTGAAATAAGTTCCCAGGCATAAGCTAACTTAGAGCATTCACCGTTGTAGGTGTCCTTCATGAACTGAATACATGGAACACAGTTCTTCTGGACAGACTGATACTCGCTCAGCTACACAAATTCACCATCCTTTAAGGAATCCAAAATTTCATTACAGTATTTACAAAAAGGTTGTCATTTTTATCTTGGGTGTGTTTTCAATTTACTTTCAGTGCTTGGCCATACTTGCGTATATGGTTGGGAAGTATTGAAACTGCTGAGACTAAGTGGTCTGTACAGTCAGTGAAAGAAACTTAACCAATTTCCTGACAATAATAAGAATAATCGTAGAAAACTCACACAAGCAGGAACACATTTTTGCGATGGTTGTCTGAAGTCTGCAGGATTCCGAAGAACGGTGTTTCATGTTCCCTAATCTCCAAATGGTGTATGTGAACTGAACATTTGCTATAAGGTATATGAATCCAGTGTAACAAAGCAGAACACTTTTAGTGTATTGTCACATGTTGAGCTATGGATGATGCCCCCTCCCCCGCCAGCCGAAGTGAGCCGAGCGGAGCCGAAGTTAGCCGAGTCCCAGCATCCTGGTAGCTATGCAACGCGAGTCAACAGCAGTGACGTCACCAAGGGGTACCGCGGTTGCTAGGGAGCGCGGGTAATTAGTGGTTGCGAGAGACGATGGTAGTAACAGCGGTACACAGCGTTACTAGCACGACGGCACCAGACAACAGTGGTGCCTATTACGTGGCTGTTTTCTGTATTGTCCGAACGCGGCTACATAAGGAGCAGCGGAGGCTATTCACAGTGAGTCCTCGAGTTAATTCCGAGTTAGCCAGCAACCAGTCAGTTGTATTCTGGCATTTGGAGTGTAGTATTTGTGATACTGCAGATAGCAGTAATTGTGAATCTGTAATTTGGGTGATTGTAAGTGCGAATGTGAAATAAAATTCGCTATATCAAATACGGCGTGAAGTTATTTGTCGCGTTATACGCCCAATACGTGACAACTGGTGTCAGAAGTGGGATTTGAACTTACACACGTGACCGACGAGATTCGATCTCAACATGTTACACTTGCGTCAGAATTTTTACGAACTTAAACGCGCCTAGACAAATAATTGGATTATTGTGCATCGAGTATTTGACTGCTACAAAATGGAGAAACAAGATATGCAGCGAATAATCGAAATGCTGGCAAGAATGGAGGCCAGCATGAAAACACATCATGAAGAGATGAGAGCTATCCAAATAAAAGCAGATGCCGACCGAGTGCGGATGGAAGACAGAATGGAAGCCAACCGAAAAAAAGACAGAGAAGATTTCCTGACAAAATTAGACGTCAACCAAAAACAAATCGACGTCATGCTGACAAAATTAGACGCCGACTTCAATGCCTGGCAGGAAGAGACGACAGCCTGCCAGGATGCAACAGTGAAAAATCCAAGAGGAAAAGCGGTTGTAGTTCACCGACAGTCGATTCCTAACGAAGACAATGAGACGTTGGCCTGCCTAGTAATGGAGGCACGTCAAGAAGATGAAAAGCCGGTCTCAGTGCACAGGAAACCTGAAGCGGCAGAATTACGAGAGGTACCCGTAGAAGACGCCGAAGTAATGCCGGTCGGAGAACCGAAGAAGAAAAGGCGCAGGGACCGTCATCGACGAAATATAAAGAATTCAACACGGGAAAACTGCGGACCCCAGAATAAATTGGCCGTCGTCAGCAGGAAGGTGTCCCGCCATGCAAGAGTGTCATGGCACCGGAGAAACATCTTCAGGAAATCTTGGACCCGAGAAGATCATGTGTCCCGGATAAAGTTGGCTGCCATCTGCAGGAAGATATCTCGTCGCGCGACAGTGGCACAATGTTGGAGAAATGACTTCAAGAAGGAAACTCCCCAGGGAACCTTCGGATACTGGAGAAAGGACTTGGAGCCACAGTCTCGCGCCAGCAAGAGGTGGGAAGTCCAGGAGGAACAACGACGTCAGCGAGTACAAACAACGCATCAAGAGCTATTATGTCGACATAAGGAACCTCCGAAGAAAGAAATGATCAAGGATTGGACCTTGTGGAGGGGACGACCCCCTCCAAAACCGAAAAAGAGACATCAAGCAGAGGAGGAACCGGTAATGTAGAAGAACCAGCCTCCCCAGAGAGTGAATGTGCCATGGGAGAGAGCGATGGATGAATGTGATCTTCTGGCAAGCTGAAAGGAAACCGCTTGAGATGAGTTTTGTCTTAAGAGGGGAGCAGATGTAACGGACGAAGAATAGTCGCTGCAAGAAGAGTAGCCGAAACAACAGGAGACACTGCAAGCACAGCTACGGGACGGAAAAGGAACGGGGGTGCACCGTTAGGCTATTTGAGATGAGCAGCCTTAAGGAGGGAGCAGTGTCACATGTTGAGCTATGGATGATGCCCCCCCCCCGCCAACCGAAGTGAGCCGAGCGGAGCCGAAGTTAGCCGAGTCTCAGCATCCTGGTAGCTATGCAACGCGAGTCAACAGCGGTGACATCACCAAGGGGTACCGCGGTTGCTAGGCAGCGCGGGTAATTAGTGGTTGCGAGAGACGACGGTAGTAACAGCGGTACACAGCGTTACTAGCACGACGGCACCAGACAACAGTGGTACCTATTATGTGGCCGTTTTCTGTATTGTCCGAACGCGGCTACATAAGGAGCAGCGGAGGCTATTCACAGTGAGTCCTCGAGTTAGTTCCGAGTTAGCCAGCAACCAGTCAGTTGTATTCTGGCATTTGGAGTGTAGTATTTGTGATACTGCAGATAGCAGTAATTGTGAATCTGTAATTTGGGTGATTGTAAGTGCGAATGTGAAATAAAATTCGCTATATCAAATACGGCATGAAGTTATTTGTCGCGTTATATGCCCAATACGTGACATTATGAATCAAGAATGATGAAATTGGTAGGGTATGTGGCATGCATGGGAGACTTGAGATATCGTTAATCCTTAAGGGAAGAGACAGGCTGTGTCATAGCTCAAGCGGTTAGTGTCTGGCTTCCCACCGTGGCGGTCTGGTTCGATCCCTGGTCTGATCAAGTGGGATTTGTGGTGGACAAAGTGGCGCTGGGGGCGGGTTTTCTCCGAGTACTTTGGTTTCCCCTGCCAATCTTCATTCCACCAAATTCTCCATCATGTCACCCGGGGTAGGCTACAATAGGCCAATCAGTGGCCGACGTGCTGAGTGGACCCAGTTGGACTCCACCCCCCACTAAGTGAATAAAAAATTTTAAGGGAAGAGGCTGTTCGGAAAATGCAGATGTGTATGAGATGATAATGTTAAAGTGAACCATTAAGAAACAGAGTGTGAGGCTGTGGACTTGATCCATTTGGCTCAGAATAGGGACCAGTGGTGGCCTCTTGTGAATGTAGTGATGAAGCCTTAGATTCCCTGAAAGGCAAGGAATTTGTTGACTGTCTGCTGAAGTATGAAGTTCTAAACAAGTTATTTGCTTCATTAGTTAGAACCTGGTATTTGTGTAGATTTAATGTAATAATGTTCAAATGTTTTAACAAATCAATGTACATCTTAGTAAAGTAAAAGTAAAAAAGTAAAGGTATCCCTGTAACAGACCATGGAGGCCCATAGGGTTGTGAGATGTTGGGGTTCCCACATTTTTTAGACAATCGGCTCATAGATGGCAGCAAGGTTGTCAGCCCTACGCGCCGACTGGCCTTTGCCCCCAAGAAAATTCGAAGAATATTCCTGGTACTCATTTCAGTTTAAGAGGCTGAGTCAACCCCAGTGCCATAGTGTGACTGGAAGGATTAGGTCAATTGAAAAAATTCAGTGACCTTGTCGGCACTTGAACCCGCAACCTTCCGGCTTGTGGCATAGTGCCTCAACCAACTACAATACCTTGCGCCCCCAGTGTACGTCTTAACATTAGTTAAAAGATATAATATTACAGCGTTCCATATATAATGCCTCCTATTTTTTTAAAGAAAACTACAACAGATACAGAAAGCATAATGCAGTTAAATAGAGCAGGATTTCAGCTCCTTACAGTTATTTTTGCACATGATCACCACCATTCGTTATGCACTTTTGCCAGCAATGAACAAGAGCCTGTATGCCGTGCCTATAAAAGTCTGCACCAGCATAGGGTAGCCACTTTCTTACAGCTGCAATGACAGCATCATTGTCTGGAAAATGTTGCCCACGTAGTCCGTCTTTCATAGGCCCAAAGAGATGGAAGTCTGAAGGTGCTAAACTGGGGCTATAAGGTGGATGTGGTAGGACAGTCCAGCCAAACTTTGCAATGTGTGCGGTGGTCGCCAAACTTGTATGGGGTCTAGCGTTATCGTGTTGCAAGCAAAAGGTTGTATGCTTCTTTGGCCTGACTCAGGAAATGCGGGCTTTCAGCTTAGCGTCGTTTTGTAGCGTTCAGAATTGACAGTCCCTGGTCGTTATCTGCTGATCTGTATGGATGAGGCGCTGTTCATTGTGAGGAGTGGCAGCTGAGCAGGGACACCCAAGGCATGGCTTGTCGTGCACTTCACTTTTGCCACTGTTGAAACACACTACCCACTGCCTCACTGTGCTGACTTCCACTATATTGTCTCCGTACACCTTTAGCAAGTGTCGATGGATGTCAGTGGGTACAATTTGTTCGGCAGTGAGAAATTCAATAACACATCTCTGTTTCATACAAACTTCTATGCCAGACACCATTTTGGTAGACTGCTCTGCTGTCACTGTCTGTTGCATGACAACCAAACTAACAGTAGATTGGCGGGAAGGTTCAACCTTTACTACAACACCACCAACATCCATCTCAGACGTTACATATTAACATAAAAAAATAGGAGGCATTATTTACGGAACACCCCTGGTATTTATATCTGTGACACAGTAATAGTATTTTCCATATGTGATGATAACATCCTTCTGAAGATGGTCATTTTGACCGAAACATGTAAAGGATGAAAAAATTAAAGCACAGCTTCTATCAATCACACTGGACAGTGGTTAAAATCTTATATACAATTACTAGTGTTACTGACCAGGAGGAACCAAGTTAAGTTGATATGGTAGACTTTCATGTTACGGTATTATGTGTCTGTGGGAAACATGAAAAAGTCTAGGCAAGATTTCAGGAACAATATGAATACAGGGAAGTTGTGCTTGGCACCTCCACAGGGAATATAATTCAAACACACGCATTTTTATATACACTAAATCAGACCAGTTGGGAGTGAACCCTTGTCCAAATTAGTGACAGTCCGAATTATAAAAGTTCTACTGAAAATGCGTTCAGGGAAGCTATAAAATGGACCTGACATACCTTTTTAGGTAATGCAGCTTTATTTTGAAATGTAGATTTTATATCATAAAATGTACATCAGTCTTGAAAGCATTTTGGATAGTGGTAATGAGTTCATCAAGGTTGTAATGTGCAAAAAAACAGGCAAATCATCGCGGATTCTGAATTAGTGAGGTTTCACCATGTTTATAAGTATACAATTAAGCAGAACATGAAATGTGCATCAAACTGTGTGCAGGGACATCGTGAAGCTGACAGCTCAGTTTGTGGCACGTAATGGGCGTCAGTTTCTGACGAACTTGATGAACAGGGAGCAGCGCAACTATCAGTTTGATTTCCTGCGACCTCAGCATTCACTTTTCCAGTACTTCACCAAATTGCTGGAGCAATACACAAAGGTAAGTACACGGGTTCCAAGCAGAAAAGAGGTTAAAATGGCACACTTTCTCATAATTTGTGAACTAGGGTAATGTACTTTGTGTTGTTTCATTAAAGAAGTTTTCAGTATAAATGAAAATAAAAAGGGAAAGCTATCCCTGTAACAGGCTGTGAAGGCCCATAGGGTTGTGAGACATCGAAGCTCCCACATTTTCACTAGATAATCGGCTCACGGATGGCAGTAAGGTTGTCAGCCTTACGCGCCAGTCGCCCTTTATCCCCAGGAATATTCCTGGTACTCATTTCTGTTAGAGGCTGAGCCTACCCCATGGCCATAGTGTGGCTGGAAGGATTAGATCAAATAAAAAAAAAATCCCCCCCCATTGTGATGCAAACCCACAACCTTCTGGCTTGTAGCATAATATCTCAAATAGCATCATTGAATTTTAGGGGTGGGTCGAGGCTGTCCATTGGTACTGCAGTGGTAAGTAGGCTCGTCATATCAGCCCTGGGTGATTATAAATGAGAGAATGGAGTATTCATGAAATGATAATTGTTAGAGGAAAATGAAAGTTCTTGGGTAAAATCCTGCCCCAGTGCCTCTATGTCCTTCATAGATCTAACACACAGACTGCCCTGTGCTTAAACTCCACTCCCCACAGCAGTGGCCTCATACTGTAATTTTGGATGCATGTACTGGTGGATCTGTTTTCTATAATTACATAATGCATCTTAACAAGATTGTAGCTCATCATTCAATAACTTTCCTGGACATCACAGCTGTGAAATGAACTGCACTATTATTGGTCAGCCCATCTTGACTGAAGGAGTGTTTCAACTGCTGCTTGACCCAGCACTTGCAAAAGAACTCTGCATATGTTTCTAAACTTGCAAAGTAGGGCTTGTGCAGACTTGCGTGTTGTGATAACCATAACAGCCATAAGGGCAGGTTTATTCCCTTTAATTTGGAACTCTTTTAGGTTCTCATACCGCCTAAAGATCTGATGTTTCGTTTAAAAGAGGAGTGCAGCTCAATGAATATAATTTTGGATCAAGTGAAGTATCGATCAGAATGGATCAAATATCAGGAGGCTCAAAGGCGTAAAGAAGAGGAAGAACTCGAGAAAGAAAGAGGTAGGTTTTGACACATTTTCATTCACTTATATATTTATTTATTTCTTTAAACAATCAGCCCTTTGAAACTTGAAGTTCCAGTAAATAGTAAAGTTAAAGCTATGGGGCTTTATTAGGCTGTGGAAGCCCATAGGGTTGTGAGATGTTGAGGCTTCCACATTTTCTAGATAGTTGGCTCACAGATGGCAGTGAGGTTGTCAGCCTCATGCGCCAGCCTCCCTTTACCCCCAGTAATATTCCTGGTACTCATTTCCCTTAGAGGCTGAGTCAACCCCAGGGCCATAATGCGGCTGGAAGAATTAGGTCAATTGAAAAACCAAGTTACTTCATAGGAAATCCATGACCTTCCAGCTTGTAGCATAGTGCCTCAACTAACTATGGTATTGAGTGCCCCTGAAGTTCTACTGAATAGTATTTAAAGAACTCAGTTTAAATGGCACAGAAAACACACCAACCGTGTCTTGCAAAGACCATCTGTTTATTGCTGTTTAGGGAAATAATCACTGTTTATTCTTAGACTGAGTGAAACACGTTACACTGAGTGGGGAAATGTAAGATCTGTGATATATATTATACCCACTACTTAACACAGTTAACACTATCGGTAGCCTAGGCTCTATAACATTTAATGACAGAAAGATTAGTGAAAAATAAGTAGGGAAGGATGTGGACAGAAGCAGCCATGGCTTAATCTCAGCGTGTTACATCCTGTGGTCATAAACACACAGATAAAATAATTTTAAGGAAGAATTTATTATTATATGCATGTAGAAACATTTTCATATTTTTTATTTAATTTTATGAGGCACATTTGCACCTATTCCAAGCACTCCACATGCTCCTTTCATTGTTTTCTGTGTCTTTCAGTTGCATATGCCCAGATTGACTGGCATGATTTTGTAGTGGTGGAGACAGTTGACTATCAGCCATTCGAAATAGGGAACTTTCCTCCTCCTACCACTCCCGACGAGGTCGGAGCTCGCGTTCTCATGCAGGTGTGTATTGGTGAAATTTATTATAAGATTCTTCCATTTGTAGAAACAGGTTTCTAATGATACCTTCACTGAACATTGCAGTTAAGTGGGTAGCACATGTAGAATAGCATGTGTGGTCTCAGAAAATGATTTCTAGTGAAGAGTCTAGGCATGGCATGTAACAAATGTACGTATGTACAAAGTCACAAAGTTGATACTTTTAAGGTAATTACAATGTTGTGGGACATAGTGGACACTCTTGTATTCATAGCTCCAGGAAATCACTTCACCCCTGCAGTTTGCAGTTCTAAAATCAACACTCTACGGTGTGTTACAAAAATTACTTTTCAGTTGCACTCATACAAAATGCGACTTGTGCGACAGTTTAAGCCAGATTAGAAATCAAGATGTATGGCATTTTCAATTTAATTTTAAATCACATAAATGATGAACAGAATTTTTTAAACGCCATCATGTTTATTGACAGCCATATTTCCTATCAGTGGACATGTGAACCTACATAATTGCCAAATTTGAGACTGAGGATATTCACATGTGGTTTGGGAACACATTTGTCATAGCATCAGGATGAATAATGTTATATTTTAGCGTCCTGTTGCACTGATTTAAGTCCATGATTTATTTTATCCGTCTTCTAGTGCATACATTCATCTATCCCCTCTTCTCACTCTCACTACATGTTTCGGCACAAATGTGCCATCTTCAGGTGCTGATCGAATCCACGACAAACTAGTTCATTGCATGCCTTGTCTATACATACTAAAATAACTAAAATATATATTTATCATATTGTCGCGTATCGGGCGTATATCGCGACAAATAAATTCTCGATGTATTCGATGTAGCGAATTTTATTTCACACTCGCTCTTACAATGACCCAAATTACAGATTTACGATTACTGCTATCTGCAGTATCACAATTAGTACACTCCAAATGCCAGAATACAACTGACTAGTTGCTGGCTAACTCGGCGGTAGCTCCAGGACTCACTGACTGACTCAGTACAACTCGACTCGGCGACTGTTACAGTACAACTGAACTGTGAATAGCCTTCGCTTCTCCCTATGTAGCCTCGATCGGACAATACGGCCACGTAATAGGCACCCTTGTTGCTAGCCACGCTGTCCGGTTACGTCACCGCTGTTGATTCGCCTTGCATAGTTACCCGGTTACGGGGCTCGGCTATCTTCGGCTCCGCTCGGCTCTACGGCTCCGCTCGTGACGTCACCGCGCATGGCTGCCAGGATGCGAGGTGATTACTCGCCTATTACGCGAGCGATACGTTACCGCTGAGGGGTGGGAGGGGAGCGCTGACTCACCCGCCGCGTCACTGCGGGTGTGGGGGGGGGCTCGGCTTTGCGCAACATGTCACACTGCTCCCTCCTTAAGGCTGTTCGTCCCGAATAGCCTAACGGTGCACCCCGTTCCTTTTCCTCGGTGGCTGTTCTTGCAGCATCGTCTTTGTGTCCTTCTGTTGTTTCGGCTACTCTTCTTGAAGCGACTATTCTTCGTCCGGTACATCCGCTCCCTTCTTAAGACAAAGCTCGTCTCGAGCGGTTTCCTTTCAGCTCGCCAGAAGATCACATTCATCCATCGCTTTCTCACATGGCACATTCACTCTCAATGGGGAGGCCGGTTCTTCTATTTTACCGGCTCCTCTTCTGTGCCCTGCTCCTTTTTTCGTTTTGGAGGGGGTCGACCCCTCCATNCCCTGGGGAGTTTCCTTCTTGGAGTCATTTCTCCAACGTCGTGCCACTGTCGCGCGACGGGATATCTTCCTGCAGATGGCAGCCAACTTCTTCTGGGGTCCACTCTCAGTGTGACATGTTGCGCAAAGCCGAGCCCCCCCCCACACCAGCAGTGACGCGGCGGGTGAGTCAGCGCTCCCCTCCC